TAGCAGGTCACTCAGAGCTATGGACTGCTTTTTCCATAACTGACATGTGAACCTCAAGATATTCAGAAAAGAGGGGACGACTGAAGGAAGGAGGAGGGGCCACAACAGCCCCCTCAGACAGAGCTCCTTTTGGTGTTTCGCTGCCTTCACACTTTTCCAACGTGTACTTTCTTAAATGCAAACACAGGCTCATCAAACATGTTTTGTAGCTGATGCTTTTACTCCGATGCTTTTACTCCAGTACTTCCGGAACACAGGCTCTCGCGCGAGGCCGTCCCGCGGCTGCCGCGGTTTCGCTGTGTGGGTGTCGTCCCTCAGCAAGGCCTCGATACATCCCCTTGAGCAGCAGCGGCCTCCCAGGCCCTGCCCATGCAGCCAGCAGTATTTCTGCTCTCTCTCTTTAAAAGCCAGGGCGTCTTGCCCGGCTGGTGGGGCTTAGCATCGACCTATGAACCAGGAGGTCACAGTTCGATTCCCGGTCAGGGCACACGCCCAGGTTAAGGGTTCAATCCCAGTGTGGGGTGGGCAGGAGGCAGCCAATCAATGATTCTCTCTCATCATTGATGTTTCTAGCTCTCACTCCCTCTCCCTTCCTCTCTGAAATCAATAAAAATAATATTAAAAAAGAAATATATATTTAAAAAACCCCACAAAACCAGGACATCTTGGTCCCCTGGGGTGAGTGACCCTGCCAGCGCAGAGGGTGGTGACATCGAGGGTTAGGCGGCACTGCCTTAGATCGGGAGCAGAGAGTAGAATTCCCTTCGCTTGTTCTGCTCTGGTGCCGAGACCGACGGTTCATTCTGACGGATCAATGGAAGGCCCAGCCCGGGGGGGGGGGGGGCACGCTCTCTAACACCAACGCTTCCCCAGCGTCTCCCTGCGGTCGGGCCTGAGCTTTTCTAAAGATCTGGATGTTGAAGTTCCACCTCGTTCCCTCCATCCCCACCAGCAGCATTGTGAGCGTGGCATTCTCGGGTACTAGCTATACCCTGTTTGCATGCTTGTTTTATTTTGTTGCTCATATACTAAGTATAACTAAAGCAGCTGAATTTAAAATAATTTTTAAGTGTTAGTTTGGCCATTTGCAGTCATATTTGTCTTGGTTTTCCAAGTTTCTGGCTTTTACAGGAAAGCTGCAATCCAGGCAGAATCAAGGGCCCTAGAGAAACTGACAGAGCCAGTCCGCACAGGGAGTTGGCGGGAGCCTCCCAGGGGGCGCTAGGACCAGGGGGCAGAGGAGACCAGGAAGCGGAGGGGACCAGGGGGCGGAGGGGACCAGGGACAGAGGGGACCAGGGGGCGGAGGGGACCAGGGGGTGGAGGTGAGCATAAGGGGCTAAGCAGATCCCTGTGAAAGAAGAGGGGGGCCTGCTGGGGTGCGGGAGCTGGACCACCTGCTGGACCAGCTTCCTTTATCCCACCCAGCGCAGCAGCACGGGAAATCCCATCAACTGTGCTCTCAGCTTCAGAGCTAATTTTCAGGTGGACAGAAAATTCTCCAACTGATGCAGCAAACTCCAAAGAGATGCTAAACACAACTATAAATATTTTCTCCGAATCTTTCTACACGTTAGCAAGTCTGAAAACTGGGTCATTTGTTTGAGTGCTTTGTAAAACCTCACCCCAAACTGCTACCGGAGGGAGGTCTCAGGGAGACGAGACTAGGAAAGAAACGGAGAGACTGCAGTGATTCTAGGTTTCTGTGGCTCACACGTCGTGCCCTTCAGCATCCATCCATCACCTCTTCCATTTGCCCCAAATGCAAACGTCCTACATGCAGACCAGGAAGCGCAGGCAAAGAATAAATAAGATGCCGCAGAAAGAGGTGGGTCGCGGCTGAAACATGTGAACCTACTTGCATTTGAACACCTGGATTCAACCAAGTCGTCCTGACATTCTAAGGAGCCCCTTCGGCCGGACTCATCTTCTCAGGACGAAACCCCCACGTGCGAGGTCACAGCACCGGTGCACACCGGGGTGACAGTCAGTGCTATGGCCCAGGCTTGTTCTCAGCACCAGCTGGGGCGACACACCCGTGGAGTCCAGCCCCCCGCCTACTAGCCATGAGGCCTCGGCAACGTTCTCGTCCTCTCCGAGCGGGGTTCCGGGCAGGGCAGGGATAAGCGCGCACTGGGAGGAGGGGGAGATGTGCTTCAAGTGCCAGCCTGGCACATGGGAGTGCCCAGCAACGGTGCCTGTGGCCACTTCAGACCGCAGCAACCAAGTGCTCAGCCCCGCTGCCCAGGAGCAGCGGCCGAGCAGACTGTGCTAGGAGAGCAGGCCTGGGCCCGGCTCGCTCAGCTACTCACTAGGGCTGTGGCGCCCACACGGAGCTAGCTGTCCAAGTACCACGCTTCCGCTGCCAGGTGGGAGCCACTCCTGCCCTCCGCCCTGGGGGAAGCAGGAGAGGGACAGAGAGCTGGGAGAGCGGGAGACAGGCCTGGTTTCCCCACAGGAGCCCATTCCCAGCACCCGCAGGAACACATCCCACGGCGCTGAAGTTCCGAGTGAGACATGGTTCTGCTCAGCAGGCACTCGGCACGGCACTGCCTCCCACACAGTTAGCAGTCGCGCTTGCTCAGAGCACAGCCTGCAGGCCTCCCAGGAGCCTGTGCCACTGTGGCCACTTCACTGGGCAAGGCTGCTGGTCGCTGCAGGCAGCAGCACACTCCAAGTTCAGCTTTCTCCCCCCAGTTTCAGCTCTGTTTCCGAGAGGTTATTCTAGAATCTAAGAGGAGGAAGGAAGAGGAGTGTGTGGTTTCATGGTCTCCCACACAGCCCCGTGGATGAGCTGCGGGCTGGCCGAGGAGCAGCAGAGGCGGGCTGGCTGGGCCCCGTGGCCTCGGCTCACTGCCCGGCACTCCCACCCCACTCGGCAGCATCCTCACCACCCGCGCTCACCCACCCAGCAGCCCTCCCCGACCCTGGCAGGACTCCACGCTGGGGCCCCACACGCGTTCCAGTCCAAGGTTACTCTAGGTCGTCGACGGGCCTGGTAACTGCGACGAGTACTGGTGGGAGCTGCCAGAGGACCACTAGCAAGCAAAGCACAAGCAAGTGTGGAAGCAAAAGACTGACGCGACACAGATGAACTAGAGAACAGGAAGAAAGAGAGAGAAAAGCCAACAAAACCAAAAGAGGGTTTTTGAAAGGATCAACAAAATTATCAAAACTTGAGCTGGATTAAGAAAGAAAAAAACAGGAGAAACACATTACTAAAATCAGGAAGGAAAGAAGGGACATAACTGCCGACCTTACAGAAATAAAAAGGGTCATAAGGAAAAACACGAACAAGTGGATGCCAATAAACTAGACAACGTAGGTGAAATGAACAACTTCCTAGAAAGACATAACTTCATATTGAATGAAGAAAAAAACAAAGTTGTGAACAGACCTATAAGAAGTAAAGAGACTGAATCAGTAATTTAAAACATCCCACTAAGAAAGGCCCAGGCCCACACTGATAAATTCTAGCAAATGCTTAAAACCCACCCTTCAGAAACTCTTCCAAAAAACATAAGAGAAAAAAACACTCCTCATTTCATTTAAAAGGCCAGCAGCACCCTGATCCCAAAACCAGACACATGACAAGAAAAGAAAACCAAAGACTAACCGCCCTTAAGAATACGGACACAAAAATCTTCAACAAAATCCAGCAAACCAAATCCAGCAAGGTCCACCAAGGCCGTGACCACGGCCAGTAGGGTCATCCCAGAATAAAAGGAGGTCCAACATACAAAGTCGGTCAAATTCGCGCATCACATTAATAAAGGAGAAACCCACACAATTATCTCAGTAGATGTAGAAAAAGTACCTGAAAAAATCCAACATCCTTTCGTGATAAAAATATTCAACAAAAATAGGAATAGAGCCCTAGCCAGTTTGGCTCAGTGGATAGAGCATTGGCCTGCGGACTGAAGGGTCCCAGGTTCAATTCCGGTCAAGGGCATGTACCTTGGTTGTGGGCACATCCCTAGTAGGAGGTGTGTAGGAGGCAGGTGATTGATGTTTCTAACTCTCTATCCCTCTCCCTTCCTCTCTATTAAAAAATCAATAAAATATATTAAAAAATATAGGATCGAGGGGAACTTCCTCAACTTGCAAAATGGCATCTATGAGAACGCTCCCAGCTAGCTGCGTACTTAACGTGACAGGCAGGATGCCTTCTCCTGAGGCCAGGCACAAGACAGGGATGTCCACTCTTGCCAGTGCCATTCGACACTGTACAGGAGGCTCCAGCCAGGACAATTAGGCAAGACAACAAAATAAAAGACATCCAGATAGGAAAGAAAAAAGTAAAATTATCTCTATTTGTAGACAACATGATCTTATATATAGGAAACCTTAAAGAACCTACAAATAAGTTATTAGAATTAATAAACAAGTTTACCAAGATTTCCAGATACAAGATCAATATACAAAAATTTACACTAGCAATGAATGATCTAAAAATACAATTAAATTCCATGTCCAAAAGAATTAAAAAACATACTTTGAACATCCAGCAGCCCCTCACTACATTTTTCAACAGAAATCCACTAAGCATAGCAACCAGGCCCCTCAAATCTTCAGGGTAACCAGACAGGGCGCTGGAGTCAGACTTCTGCTTCTGATCCAGCGGCAGGACAGCCACGGGCAAAAGCAAGCCATTGAGAACACACTGCAAACTGAGATGCGGGGTGCGGGGGGCAGCGGGAGTGGGATTCCTTGTGTAAGCCAGGAAAGGCTCTCACAGAACGCTGACACTACAGATTACCGCCAGGACGAGATTTTAAGGGACTTTCACTTTCTTCTCTACACTCTGGGCACTGGCTTTTAAAAACATGCTCATTTTGTAAAACCCGAGTTCGGGAGGCCAACGGATGTGGCCACCTTGTTCCCCAACACGTCCCTGCCCGCGGTGGGAGGCCGCCTGTGCAGTGAGGCGCTTTTCCGACAGCACCCTTAGCAACACCTGCCTCACAGAGGGGCATGTTGGGGCAGTTCCTTCGAGCTTACCTGGACGGGGGGCTCAATCGTTATCCAGGCCGGAAGCATGAGACTGGGGTTCAGAGGCTGGGTGCCCACGCGGAAGTACACGCCGCCCCTGGAATCACAGGCCCACACGTGCTGGTTTCCACACGCCAAGCTCGTCAGTTTTGCAGCTCCTGGAGACAAGGAAACACGCAAACACGAGTTACTTCTGTAAAATGACTACTCTTTCACGGACTCTATCAACTTTAATTTTATTTTGCAAAGGAAGAGATGAGGAGCGTGACCAAGACCACCTGCCAGGCGCCACACAGCAGCCCCTCTACCAGGCAAGGCCGTCTCCACGTGGGCCTCTGGTTAGCGCCTTCAGAGGCGACTATGACCAGCAACAGCAATAGGGACGAGCGGAGAGATGCTCCCTTCACTGCTGACCCAGCTGGAGGTAAGGTGAGCGAACACAGCCCCCGAACCTTCACTGTTCTGTTCCTATTTCTCCTTGTGGATTAAGCTGATTTGAAGAGGTAGGGAGGTAGGAGGAGCCTTTAAAGAGAAACCACATTTGATTGACAGTCTCTTTGGCAACCACCAACAGCTGCTGTGGGGCGGGGTTGCAGCCAGGCCCTCACTTTGAACCTCATCACAGCACCCAGTGTCCCGTCCACGTGAGGCCATCGGGACCAGACACGGAGGCATGTGCCCAGGGTCCCACAGCAGGGACGTGGCTCAGCCAGGAGGCTGAGGGTGAACTGAGGGTGAAGCCAGGGTGGCCTGACCCCACACCAGCTACCTTGGCCCCTGGGAAACCACATCCAGAGCGCAGACCTCACGGTTCAGTTCCATCAGCTCTGACAAATGGACCGACCTGGTCACCCCGTCCTGTCAAGTTATGGGCCATTTTACCCCCCCGGAGGGTTCCCTCAGGCCCCTTCCCGTCACTGCCAGGCCATGACCCTGTGGATTTCTACCACAGGGAGTCCGGCCTCGCCAAGGCCTCCACAGAAACATCCCAGGTGGCACCTCTTCTGTCACCCCTTCTAGTAGGTGTGAGGGTATCTTTTTTTTTTTTTTTTTTTTTTTTTTTTAAATATATTTTATTGATTTTTTACAGAGAGGAAGGGAGAGGGATAGAGAGTTAGAAACATCGATGAGAGAGAAACATCAATCAGCTGCCTCCTGCACATCTCCCACTGGGGATGTGCCCGCAACCAAGGTACATGCCCTTGACCGGAATCGAACCTGGGACCCTTCAGTCCACAGGCCAACGCTCTATCCACTGAGCCAAACCGGTTTCGGCGGTGTGAGGGTATCTTGCCGCGTTTGACGTGCATGTGCCTGAGAGCCCTGGTGCTGACTCTGGATGCGCTTCCGGGGCACTTGTGTATCTTCTCTTGAGAAGTGTCCATTCAGGTCTTTTGCCCATTTTTCAAGCCGAGTGGTTTGTCATCGATGACGAAGCCAGAGGGCGGGTCATCTGGACTTTAAAACTGGGGGAGAGGTGGTGCAGCTGCCCTTGCTGGCGGCGCTGCCTTGGCACCCCATGCCGTTGCCCTGGCATCGGATGACTGCCCACGTGTCTGCACCAATGGGCATGGGTCTTGCTGTGGCAATCCTGTCATGTGCCTTTAGTATGAGACAAACTTAGAAGTATAACTCCCACAACACGAAAGTTCTCAGCACCCCTTTGTGCATTTCTCAAAGATGATGATTTCTCTTATGTTGAAATTAACTGCCTTTTCCTCTCAATATTTTATAGGATGGCTTACCAGGGAGTTCAAGAGACTCCCTAGGGATCTAAGTTACGTATTAAAACATTTGTACCAATCAAAGTAAAGGAGCTTCAGCAGTAAGTCCCAGAAGTAGCTGAGAAATGCTAATTGGAAGGCAATGCTATGCTGGGGTCTGCAGCAGCCCTGAGAGCAACTCCAGGCAGCAGCTGCCTTAGGAGTCACCTGGGGAGGAGTCACCTGGGAGAGAGGCACACTGGCGGCCTCAGAGCGAGGGGACACCACCATGCAGAACACACAGTCACATTATCAGGGGCACATTCTTTTAGAACAAATACAGAAGCTGCTGGAACCTAAACGGCCTCAACCAGCTGATTCTGGACTGAAGAGCAGGGCAAAGCAGAGAACGGCCCACGGGGGCTCCTCTGCAGTCCTGCCTTACTCCGCTCTCCCGGCTCCTGTCCGTCCACAGGGAGGGGGAGGTCGAGGCAGGTGGCAGACACCCTGCCCTCTCACACACTCCACGGCTCCCAGTCCCGAGTTAAGCAGGGCCCCATCCAGCCAGCGGGCTATGAGCAGAAGTGACTGTCCCTCCTGAACGGAACCACTGGAGCTGGTGCAGGGCCCTCCAGCTGCAGTGCCTGAGGGGCCGGGGCCGCAGAGCACCAGGGGGACCAGTGCTCCCACCCCGGGCACAACCGCCCTAAGAGACCGAGGCTGACAGCCGAGCTGGCGGGAGAGCAGGCGGCTGATACTGGGGCCTGTCGCTACACAGCCCAACCAACACACGCAATTTTCCTGCCACTTTCGGGTTTTTCTCTCCCATTAAAAAAAAAAGTTCTAATTACTTTATTTAACAGATCAGACTTCTTCCCTTAACAGCAAGTGGCACCTACTTGGTGTTTTACTGTATCGGGCTGCACACTTTCTGCACACATTTCCAAAGGCATGACTGACACTAAACACTTCCCCATCCCTCGCTGAGACCCATGACTGTCATCACAGACCGCACTGTGCTGACCCCTGTGCCTGACAGTGCACATGTGCCAGGGCTCTTAAACATCCACCAAAGGATGCCAATTGTGGGGAGCCGATATAGGGTTAAGCCTCGGACTGACCTGTTGGCAAAGTCACAAACAGGTCTTCCGAGTCTTAAGCAACCCAATCTGAGAGGTGGCCGCTGATTTACACGCGCTATCATTTAAAAAATAAAAAAGGGGGAATTTGCCGGAAGCTGGTCCATCCTTGCTGCTTGACACAGTCGCTGCAGGGAAGAAACATCTGCACAGCATATGTTTCAAGGGACCTGGGGTATATGGCATACTGTTCTTAATATGTTTGCTCCCCTTCTTAGCGCTATGTGTTTTAACCAAGGTCACCTCTCCGGGAAAGGTTGTTTCCCCAGGTGGGGATTTTTCCCTGGAGTTAGGGATTAACAGGACTAAGGAAGGGAATCAGTAAAACCCCTTAACTAAGTGCCAGGGGGGTAGTTAGTCACTTTAACTACGAACAATCACGCTTAAGCTACATAATCTTTACTTAGGATAATCTCCTTCAGTTACTTCCTTGTAGCTTAACAGAACAATAGAGTAGTGACCTTGGAATGGAGATAAGAAACGCCCTAACCTTTGGAATAGAATGGATAGGACTAAAATCAAATGGTATAAATACAGATGTAATGGGAGAATAAAGGGAGAACCTAGCTATGCTAATCAACTGAACGCTTCCTCCGTGTCATTCCTTCTTTGCTGACTCTGTCCACACCTTTGGGAACCCCTGGACCTGCTGGGGCTGGACCCCAACAGCCAATCTGCTTCCAAAAACTAAGGTTGTAATAAATTGCAAATTCCATGCTGTTGTTATAACTGGGCTCAATAGCGAAACATTTAAGAATTCTCTTCATTTCACCTAAAGCAGCAATTGATTTGGTAGTTTGCACAGGGGCAGAAGAGGGATGCTACCCCTTTAAGAAGAAATTAAAGGCAGAAACTGTGTTCATGACTTGACACTTTGCTCCTTAAAATTGCAACTTCTGTGTGCCATATGGGGAAGACCAGTGACATTCCAGACTTTACAATGACCTGGCACAGCCAAGGTCAATACCAGCACGAGGTAGCCCAGCTCGAGTGGTCGACACCGGGAAGACAGGCTTCCATTTGAAGGTTCTAAGGCTGGGGCACTAGTACCGAGAGGCCAGGACTGAGAGCAGGGGCCAGCCATCTCTGAGGCAGCTCACATTCCACAGGATGCTCCTGCCACCATCTCTCGGCGGTGGGGAACTGGGTTGAACGGGAAGACAGCAGCTTGCCAGGCCCAGCTCTGGGCACAGCCAGCACTGCCTCTGCTGTGAGTCCCGCTCCTCAGCCTGGCCTCCGGCCACCTGCTGTGTGACCCACTCCGGGCTTGGCTGGATCCTGGCACTGGTTTGCTAAGGATGAATTTGCAGGCAGGAGGCTGGGCGGCTCCGTCCTCTGCGCCTGCACCACCGCAAGCACCCATTGCCCGCACCACCGCAGCAAGCACCCACTGCCCGCACCACCGGCACAAGCGCTCACTGCCCGCACCACCGGCACAAGCGCCCACTGCCCGCACCACCGGCACAAGCGCCCACTGCCCGCACCACCGGCACAAGCGCCCACTGCCCGCACCACCGGCACAAGCACCCACTGCCTGCGCTCAGACGGCCAAACACATCCCGACTCAGATGCAGCTCCCCCTCAAATGAAGACTCACATCCCCCAAAGCTGTTTCTCCCCAGAAAGCATGGCCACCACCCCAGTGAAGCCCAAAGGCACCTCCAAAGCCCTGCTCTGCTCCAGCCGCCAGCTGCGCCAGGAGGAACGGGCTGAACATGCAGGGAGGCAGGGCTGTGGGCTGGAGCCAGGCACGATGCCCACTCCCTCTGCACCAAGCTCTCAGCGTGGCAGGACACAAACCGCACCTGGGCTTGGCGCCTCCACGAGGAACCTCGGCATCTCCCACACAGGCCTGGCTGGGGCTGTGGGGGTGGGCTGGGGCAGGCAGGAGGGCCACGGCCATCAGTAACAACTAACTACGGCTGGCAAATGCTCTCAAAGGCGGAACAATGGCCCTGGTGCTGGGATTAGGTTCAAAAGACAGTGTGAGGACGTGTACCTGGATTGCAGATTCAATCCTGGCCCTAGTCAGGCTCCTATGGGAGGCAACCAATCGATGTGTCTCTCTCACATCTATGTCTCTCTCTCTAAAAGTCAAGGAAAAAATATCCCTCGGGTGAGGATTAACAAACACAAAAACATGACCCTGGGCAATGCCTAGCTCTGGCCGGAGGGAGCTTGCCTAGGGGAGGGCCGCTGGCTGCTGCAGCTGCACTGGATGTGTGGGGCCTGGCTGGACAACAGATGAAGGTCTCCGCACGGCACCCTGTGGAGCCACCTGGGCCCAGACCTGCGGTGGGTGGTGAGCGCCCCTGCATCAGGAGGTGCAGCCTTCTTGCTCTCCCCGCTCCATGTTTGTGTGGAGGAGGACTTGTGGCTGAATTCTCAAACATCAAGTGCTTGCACAGCAATGCTGGCTGTCAGTTTACCAGGAGACCGTATGGCAGAGTATTTCTAGGGCCCATCTGGACCCTCTGGAGCCCCTGGCACACCCTCCGCCTCAGACCAGCCACACCTAAGCTGCCATTCAATCAAGAATCTGCCTGAAGCCCTAACCGGTTTGGCTCAGTGGATAGAGCGTAGGCCTGCGGACTCAAGGGTCCCAGGTTCGATTCTGATCAAGGGCATGTACCTTGGTTGCGGGCACATCCCCAGTGAGGAGTGTGCAGGAGGCAGCTGATCGATGTTTCTCTCTCATCGATGTTTCTAACTCTCTATTCCTCTCCCTTCCTCTCTGTAAAAAATCAATAAAATATATTTAAAAAAAAAAAGAATCTGCCTGAATAACCTTATGTTTGGGCTCATCCTATTACCTCATTTCTTAGAACACGAATGAATGATTTATCAAAGGCACCTGCTGTGTGGCCCGCCCTGTAACCAGAGAAGACTCGGAGAAGAGCAGTGGGAGGTGCAGTGTCAATCCCGTCTAACTGAGCATTGAGCCTTGCTGAGCACTGAGCACTGAGCCTAGCTGAGCACTGAGCCTAGCTGAGCACTGAGCCTTGCTGAGCACTGAGCACTGAGCCTAGCTGAGCACTGAGCCTTGCTAGCTGAGCACCGAGCCTTGCTAGCTGAGCACTGAGCCTTGCTGAGCACTGAGCCTAGCTGAGCACTGAGCCTAGCTGAGCACTGAGCCTTGCTAGCTGAGCACCGAGCCTTGCTAGCTGAGCACTGAGCCTAGCTGAGCACTGAGCCTTGCTAGCTGAGCACTGAGCCTTGCTGAGCACCGAGCCTTGCTGAGCACCGAGCCTTGCTGAGCACCGAGCCTTGCTAGCTGAGCACCGAGCCTTGCTAGCTGAGGAGCTATTCTATGCTGGGAGGAGACAGTAAACGGGTCACTGATCCTGGCGCAGGACACGCCATTTTTCAGACTGGAAAGCACGAAGCTGCGTGCCATATTCAGACAGACTGGCAGAGGCAATGGCACCAACGGGATTACTTGAAGCAGTTCTTTGTGGGCAACTTCCTCTGAGTCTGCTCCTCCTGAGTTCTGAAAACCCCCAAACCAAGGTGGGAAGTGAAGCTCCTACAAAAGTAAGAAGCCCATTTAATCTGCAAGAGTAGCTAATCAACCTCCTGAAATCCAGCAGCTTACAAAGTGTCATACGGGAATTCACACAAGTGGAACCCAGGGGCCCGTCACATCCACAGGCACGACACACAGGACGGCATACCTAGCTGGGCAAGGTCCAGCCGGGTCCAGTGCAGGCCGGTGGGGCAGCTGGCGGACAGCGTCCTGATGAACACCTGGCCCAGGCTGTCCAGCGCCCACAGAGCGTCCTGGCAGGCGGCGTAGGCTCTCATCTCGGTGTCGGGCGGCAGCTGCACCGTGGACGGGCGGGACTGCGCGTGCTGGGCGCCCACGCTGCACAGGTCCTTGCTGCCCTGGCACAGCCACAAGGAGCTGCCTGCAGGAGAGTTCGGGGGTGTCACTGACAAAAGCAGCCGCTGCCTCTGGGCAGCTGACACCAACGGCTCCCTTGCTCCCTCGCCACCGTGACAGAAGCTCCATGTGCTTTAAGGAAGTGTTGGAGGGCACACCACGACTGAGCAAGAAACAAGCCCGAGATATTTTAAAGAAGTGAGAGAAAGCAGGGCTTATGGGATTTTAGGAAGGCTACGATGTTGGCCTAGTGGCTCTGACCCAGGACGTGCTATGATGAAACACTTGGTGTGTTCCCTCCGCGCTCTGGAGGGCGTGGGGTCAGAGGGCCTCAGAAGCACAGAACCCAGGGGCTGGCCTGCTCTGCAGGGGGCTGGGGCTGGGCCTGCGGAAGCTGGAAAGCCTCCCTTCCCATCCCTCCACCATGTTCAGATCCTTAGGTGAAGAAGATTCAGCTTAAAATGCGAATAACCCCCCAGGAAGTGAAAAGCTTGGGCACATGCATTATCTAAAACCTGTGGCCAGGGTGTTTTGGAATTCAAGATTCCTTTGGTTTGAAGACCTAGGGCAGTGATGGCGAACCTACGACACGTGTGTCAGAGGTGACACGCGAACTCATTTTTTTGGTTGATTTTTCTTTGTTAAATGGCATTTAAATATATAAAATAAATATAAAAAATATAAGTCTTTGTTTTACTATGGTTGCAAACATCAAAAAATTTCTATATGTGACACGGCCCCAGAGTTAAGTTAGGGTTTTTCAAATGCTGACATGCCGAGCTCAAAAGGTTCGCCGTCACTGGCCCAGGGCAGTACCTTGGCCTGTGTTAAGTCCCAGGCCAGCAGCGCCCGGTACGCGGTAACACCGCTGCAGCGCGTGTGTCAGTCAGCGTGCGCAGCCCCCCTGGCTGCTGCGCCATGGCCCGCTGAGATGGCTGGAAGTCACCGCTGCCAGCCCCGGTGGCTGCACTGCATGTTCCCCTCCTCAGGACGTGCTGTCATGACTCACTCAGCTTCACTGCTCTGGATCCTGCTCTCCTGGTCAAGTGGGCCCAGCCCCAGGGGCCCTCGGCTCAGCCCACAAGGGCTACTGGCCTGTGACACGACCCACCTTGTCTCTGGTTCACTCAGCCACGCCCCCACCCCAACAAGCACAGGCAGACTATGGCTTTCACTGCCACAGCCACGCCTGCACTGCTCTCCACCAACCTTCCTTCGTGGGAGCAGGGGAGGCCAACACAAAGGCCCATTTGGTAGCAGAAGCTGTCCCACGGGGAACAACGTTGTTCCAGTGAGTGCCTGGGAAGAAGAAACAGAAGCAGGTGTTAGAGAAAGAAGGAACTAACCACACCCCAGACCGTGGGTTCTAGACCACAGCTCACTGCTGGTTCCAGCCTGTCCTTACATGGAGGGCTGAGCCAGCACTCGAGAGCCGGCCCGATCCTCTGTGGACACCGGCAAGCAGAGCCAGTCTTGCCCAGGGACGAGGAGTTGGTGAAAACCCACAAAGCAGGGGTGCATTTACAGGAAGGATGGGTGCGTGTGGACTTGCACCGCATTACACATCTGGCTAGAGCCTGGCATTTTCAACAGCATGATAATGTTCCTCCAGGAAACGGACTATTCTCTCTTCCTAGGCTCTTCAGGCTTGGGTGGGATTTTTCATTTAAATAAAAAATTATTAATGTAAAACTGAGCTCCATTTGCTTTCTATCATAATAGGTTCCCAGTGGAGACTGATCGCACACCACCAGACACTGGGATCCAAGTGGCAGCAAGGACAGATGAAGAAGGGAAACGGACAAGCACCAAGAATGCCTCCGTCCCAATCACCCCTACACTGGCCTCTGTCACCTTCGCAGGCTGAGCGCCTGACGCTTTCCTTGACATGCTGGCCCCTTCCTCTGACGGAAGCTGCCTCTCAAGCGGCGTGAAGTCTAAGCAATGCACCCACCGATGAGACTCCCCTTGGCGACGTGGAGGTCATTCTTGCCCGAGGAGATCCAGACGCCGCTGTTGTTGACCCCCAGGAGGCTGGGCTGGCACTGAAGCTGCTGAGACCAAAACGCCGTGCGCAGCTTGTCTGCCACCTTTTCCACGGGCACTTGGGCCGCCGTAGCCACCGAGTGTGTGGCGTGCATGATGGTCTGGAATAGGCTGCACTGGTCGAACACCACGTAGTCTGTGATGCTCACCTGCAGGGACGGGCAGACACGCTGTCAGGGCCATCTTCCTGCCGCGTGCACATGCGTGTTATCGAGGACTGAGAAAGGTCTAGCAGGACACCACCGAACTGTTGTCATGACCCCGGGGGGTTGGATTTAGAGGCGGAAAATGTCACCTTTCATACACTTTTCTATCACGTGGATCTGTTACAAGCCTGTGACTGAACATCACCCCCTTACACCTCCACGTCTTTTGTTCTAGTTAGTGAGAGAGAATTGTTTTGTTTTTAAATTTAGGTATTTCTCAGGGGCACCCATGTACAATACTTAGACTATACAATAAGAAGACTTAAGAAGGTATTATAAGTAATAATTTATTATCTAAACCAGGCCTGTTAGTCCTTATGCCAGGCCAACAGCCTAAAGCTCCCGTCTTGGACTGAAGGCAGCACCTGGCTCAGATGCCAGGCCCTTGCTTCTCTCACGTGACCTGAAAGGTGCTTTTCCAGGCGCCTCCTGAGGAGACCCCTCCTGCTCTTTCTAAAAGGCTTTCACGCACGTATCTGCCCTGCTGGGCTTGACCACAGGGGACTCGCTGCCCTACTCCTAGGAGAGTCTCGTGCAGGTGACGGGCCCAAGTCTCATACAATGAAGTGTTGAGTGAAAGGGACCTCCATTTACAAAACACAGGAACGAAAAGGAAATTCCTGTAAAAGTCAGTACTGGGTGCAAACGCTGCCCTTGTCAGTTTTATTCATTTCAAGTCACATTTCAAGTCAGTGTGAGCTGCTGCCCTAACTGAAGCAGAAGTGGAGGCTTCACCATCGGCCCCCGAGGCCCCGTTCTCACCCCGGAGCCCTCAGAATGCTGGGCCCGCACACGCTGGCGCTGCGACCACTGGTGTGTGTACCTCGCCAAGGCCACACCAGGTCTGGGACAGACGCAGTCCCAGCACCCAGGACCTGCGGATGAGCAGGATGCAAATGTAACTAAAGTTTAGCAGCCAAACAGTGCTGCTCTCCTGCTACAAAGAGTCAGTCTTCAGTAACTACACTAACTGCTTTCAAATACCTCAAAGGTGATTCTGCCGATTAAATTTCTCTAAAGATAATGATCTGAACATTATGATAAAACGTATCTGCTTTCCTCTTGGCTACTTAAAAACAGAATTTAGTACGCACGTACAGGTGAGCGTGTGTGTGTGCGTGTGCGTGTAACACCATGTAACATGGTGACGAGTAGAGAGAAGGTATTTTAAGGTCCTTGTGTAACTCTTCGAGTGGCACCTGGCATGTAGATTAGAGACGTCTGTACACATACGCACACTCATCAAAGAGCAAACACACCGACTTCCCCGCATTCTCACCTCAGGGACCAAGAGCAGCAAGGCAGGTCTGAGGCGACAGTGAGACCTGAGGCCGTGGACACCACGCTGAAGCGATGCTGCGTGTTCACAGCTGCGGGGGCAGCACAGCCTCACCCGCCCCCAGGGAGACCGGCCCCACAGGGGGAGTAGACACCCCTTTGAGAACATCCCAGCCGCCTGGCTGGCACCAAGTCAGAAAGGGGGCTGATGACACCTTCCCTTTCGGGAGCCAGCGGAGGGTTCCCCTGTTGAAATGCCTCCCACTCAGAGGATTTCCGAACAAGCGGAGAGAGAGGGACTGTAATTGTGGGTTGGGTTTCCCAACCCTATTGTCTACTCTCTTTTCTTAGCGCGTCTGTCAGAATTAAACATCGTTATTACCCAGTCTTCGAATGGACGTCAAGGGTTTATTTCACTTATAGATTTCTAAACACCCACAGAAACAGCCTGCGCTCAGCAGAGCTCCGAGAAGCACCTCCTCAGGTGGGAAGTCTAGGTGTCTCCAATGTGCTGGGACCCAGCAGTCGGACTCAGTAAAACTGAGCACTGTTACTCACCCCCCCCCCCGCCCCCCAATCTCTTTAGGGAAAAGGGAGGGGCTGCAAGGGGGCAGCAGCCCCACCCCAGGGAGACCCGGGCCGACCGGAACACCCACTTGCCACCAGTGGTCGTCCTCCCCTTGGGGCTTCTTGGGAACAATGCCGGTTCTGAACCACAGGGTTCCGTGGATGTCCAGCGCCCACAGGGTCTGCTGGTCCCCGAGCGCCACACAGACAGGTTCCAAGGCCTGCCTTTCGCTGAAATGGAGGAGGACATGGGAGTCAGCATCCAGGCGAAGCCCCAGCGGGTCTAGGACTGCCAGCAGAGGGCACCCTGGGGGTTGGCCTGGGAGAAGACACCCCACCCACAAGATCCCAGGAAGAAAGCCGCATTTTGAGTTAAGTTACTGTGCAACATCAATTGTTCAAACGCGTCGTAGCTTCTGAAAGACATACTCAGACCCAGAATGACAGGAAAGCTCTTGGAAGAAAATAGCCTAAGAAAAAAGTGAGCAGAGGCCCAGCAGGAATCCAGGCCCCCAGGCGCCTCCACCTCCCGGTCCCCCCTTCGCTGTGCCAGGCTGTGCCGGGCTGTGCCTGGGAGCTGCAGCTGGGCAAACGCCGCTCTCTCTGGGCCTCTGGTGCCATCACACCAGCCTCCAGGCTCAGCTGGGCTCCACTCTGCGCGGTGCCCTCGGCCTCCGCAGGTGGAGCCGGGCGCCTGGTGCTTGCTCCGCTCCCCGGTTCAGGAACATCTGCACTAACCGAGGGGTCAGTTCACACTCCTACTGGGAGCTCCGTGAGGCAGGGCAGGCTCAGTGGTCTTCGCACACGCAGCCCAGCAGCTCTGGCTTACAATGGGGACTTGCTCAACTTTCCTGGGTTGCTAAATGCAAACCAATATCCTAATCTAATTTTCTAAGGGCTATTAATAATTTCTTACTAGCAAAATGATTGGATAGTAATTAAAATTTTGTAAGGCATAATGTAACCAAATAAATTACAGTTCAGAGGTCAATTTCAATTGACTAGGAGGATAATAAAGAAAACTATTTGGCTCTACAGCATCCGAGATTCTAAAGAGAAACGCCTCAACACTGGGCAGTTCTGAACAGACAGTCCTGAGAAACGGGTGGCGTGTGAGGCTCGGGGTTGCACAGGAGGCAGCAGCATTGACAAAGCTGCGCTCTGACCCAACATGCAGTGCGTCAGAGGTAGACAGAATTTGTCTCCAAGGTCAGGCTGCTCAAACCAGTTCTGACAACTGCAGAGAACACCATTACCATGGAAACCCCCAGGGAACCAGCTCTTCCCAGGAAGGCTCCCCCGGACGCCTGAGGGGCGTCCTGCTGACAAGGACCAGAGGAGGGACAAACAGGCCCGGTACCTGACGATGTCACACTTCCACTGCTCCCCTTCAGGACAGAAGCTGCTCACGCCCTCCCGGTACAGGAGGGCTCTCTGCTCCGTCAGCGCCCACACCACGCTGTTCCGGGCTGTCACCTGGGACAGTGGGTACGGGCAGTCGACCTTTATGGCTCTGGCACAGGGGCGATCCACGCTGAGACCTGCCGGAGAGATGGACAGCAAGCCCCAAACACACACAATCGGGCTGTCACACCTCACTGTTACGTTTACTTACTTTTCTTTTTGGTATTTTGCTATATTCCTTTGTGATAAGTGCTTTTTAAAAGATCTAGTCAGCCCCTGGCTGGGTGGCTCAATTGGTTGGAGCATCATCCCACACACGGAGAGGATGCAGGTTTAATCCCTGGTTGGGGGTATGTACGAGAGGCAACCGGTCGGTTTCTCTCTCACATTGAAGTTTCTCTCTCTTTCTCTTTCTCAAATCAACAAAAACAATCTCAGGTGAGGATGAAAAATAAATAAATAAATAAAATAAAAGGTCTAGTCAATTACCCAAGGGGAGGGAGGTGGGGGAGGTAGAAGAGGGTAAATGGGGGATAAATGGTGATGGAAGGAGACTTGATTTTGGATGGTGAACACACAATATAATATACAGATGATGTGTTATAGAATAGTACCCAAAACCTATATAATTTTATTAACCAGTGTCACCCCAGTAAGTTCAATAAAAAAGGGAAAATAGGTGTTGTCAACACACAACGGTGAAGTGGTGCTGAAGGGTAACATCAGGTGCAGCATTTCAGACGCCCTTGGAAAACCCAGGAGTAACAACCGAGTGGTACGTAAGGTGTCCTGAGAGACGCGGAGCCCGTGCCAGAGCGAGATGTTAGCCCAGGGGTGGGCAAACTTTTTGACTCGAGGGCCACAATGGGTTCTTAAACTGAACCGGAGGGCCGGAACAAAAGCATGGATGGAGTGTTTGTGTCAACTAATGTAAATTCAAAGTAAACATCATTACATAAAAGGGTACAGTCTTTTTTTTTTTTTTTAGTTTTATTCATTTCAAACGGGCAGGATCCGGCCCTAGGGCCGTAGTTTGCCCACGGCTGTGCTAGCCTCTGGCTCCATCTTGTCGCCTGCTTTGTTCCCGGCCTCTAGGATAAGAGCTTCTTGCATACAGACATGCTAATCGTTAGAGGAATTCTCCTTACCAGAAAGTGCCTCTCCCGAGGAGGTAAGTATGCACAGAATTAATGACTATTTATCAGAGATTTGCAGGAACCGCATGACCAGACTCACATCATTTAGCACAATCTTCCTTGGACCCCTGCTGGCGCCTAGATGTCTTCAGTCGCCCATCACCTCTTGCCCCTCCCACTCCCCCTTCCCCAGACATAAAAGCAGCCTGAGCCTCCCCTCTTCTAGGCCAGGGACTTCTCCATAAATAAACCTTTCCTTCCCCCAAATGCTGACATTGTGAGTTTGGCCTTTTGTCCTTCCCCCAAATGCTGACATTGTGAGTTTGGCCTTTTGAAGCATCAGGCACATGGCCTTTGGACGGGTAACACCCAGACCGAGAGCAGCCAGACCCCAAAGAACGGCGCCCAGACCGAGAGCAGCCAGACCCCAAAGAACGGCGCCCAGGCCGAGAGCAGCCAGACCGCAAAGAACGGGGCCCAGGCCGAGCAGCCAGCTCTCAGAGATGCCCTTCCCTGTGGACAGCTGTGCCCCTTGGAGCCTCAGGGTGAGCAGAGGGGTCGGCAGCATCTGAGGCCTCCAGCCACCCTCTCAGAGCAGCTCCAACCAAGGGCCCCCCGCCCTGCTTTTACCTGGTGTGTGTGTGTGGAAGGGGCCCCCATGTTAAAATGAAGACCCTGTGTTTCCTAGGGGAACAGCATGGCCCGTTGCTGGGGCAGCACCTGACTCCCCACAGGGCTCTCATCCTGCCTCCTGGCACCTCTGCCCAGCGAGCAGCAGGCCCTCCGGGAGAGCTGCCAGGACCTGCATCCCTATTCCGTGGTCTTCAATGTGCTCCACTGGTCACACACACATCTTGCGCAATCGCAGGCCTTGGGGTGTACTTCCTCCCACAAACGAGGTGGGAATCACCTGCAGGACTTCTTACCCGACAAATCCTCGGGCCTCCCTGAGACTGTAACCCAGTAGGTCTAGGGCTGTGGTCGGCAAACTGCAGCTCGCGAGCCACATGCGGCTGTTTGGCCCCTTGAGTGTGGCTCTTCCACAAAATACCACGTGCGGGCCCTGACCGGTTTGGCTCAGTGGATAGAGCAGGGGTCCTCAAACTTTTTAAACAGGGGGCCAGTTCACTGTCCCTCAGACCGTTGGAGGGCCGAACTATAGTTTAAAAAAAAACAATGAACAAATTCCTATGCACACTGCACATATCTTATTTTGAAGTAAAAAAACAAAATGGGAACAGATACAATATTTGTATTTGCGTGTGGCCCGCGGGCCGTAGTTTGAGGACCCCTGGGATAGAGCACCGGCCTGTGGACTGAAGGGTCCCAGGTTCTATTCCAGTCAAGGGCATGCACCTTGGTTGCGGGCACATCACCAGTGAGGGGTGTGCAGGAAGCAGCTGATCGATGTTTCTAACTCTCTATCCCTCTCCCTTCCTCTCTGTAAAAAATCAATAAAATATATTAAAAAAAAATACCACGTGCGGGCACGCATGTACAGTGCGATTGAAACATCGTGGCCCATGCGCAGAAGTCGGTATTTTGTGGAAGAGCCACGCTCAAGGGGCCAAAGAGCCACATGTGGCTCGTGAGCCACAGTTTGCCGACCACTGGCCTAGGGGGTACAGGGCTTGTCTGAAACCACTGCCCTGGAGACTCCTAAGGCACTGCTGGTTATGAGGACACCCGCTCCTCACCCCCAGGAAGGAGCACCCGTTTCCCCACCAAGAACAAAACTCAAATCCCCAGAGCTCCTTCCCCTGGAAGGCAGACACAGAAGTAGGCCAGGGGCCAGGGCTGGCCCATGACCCAGGAGCTGCCCCCAGGGCTCCAGCAGGCTTCTGGGATCCGCTGGCTCTCCCACAGCTGGGCTCTCAATCTCCAGGAATCAGCCCTGATAGTTCGTAAGACTGATCACAACATTTGGCACCAGCAGAAGACTGATTTTTACAGATCCAATATGGTCTCTTGACAACCAGAAAAGAGCTCCTGGCTCTGGCCGGTTGCTCAGTGGTTAGAGCACCAGCCTGCAGACTGAAGGGCCCCGGGTTCAATTTCCAGTCAAGGGCACATACCTGGGTTGCAGATACCTGGGCCCAAGGCCGGGACCCATGCAGGAAGCAACCAATCGATGCGTCTCTCTCACATCGATGTTTCTCTTTCTTTCCCTCTCTCCCACTCTCTCTAAAAATCAATGGAAAAATATCCTTGGGTGAGGATTAACAATAATAAGGAGAATTCCTGCCCCGATCCTCCCCAGTCCCGTGAATCACTGCTCTGGGAACCTACACCCCACTCTGCTGACAGCACACGGACGTGGACTCTCATTAGACCCCTTTTAATAAGTCCCCCTGCATCTCCTCCAGCAGCGAAGGTCCCCTCAGGGCAGTTTCCTTGAACTGCTATTTGGAGCCGAGGACTCCTCGTTTTTCCTGACCTACATGTGAGTGCGTGCAGGGAAGCGGGCTGCGGCCTGACTGAGAAGCCCAGGCCCTTCTCTCAGACCCGACCTGTGGGGTAAGTGACACGCAGTGGCACGAGGAAGGAGAACAGGTTCTGTTTCTGCTCCTCACTAAGTAATCCCGTTCGTTCTTGCCCACATTTGTCCTGGTTGAATTTGAATCAGTAGCAGGAAATAGCGAGTATATCTAACGGCAAGCACTCTCTTTTTAGAAGGTGTTAATTTAAATGGCTTTTCAGCCTCTTGGTCATCTGATCGTTCCCACAAAGCAGGGCGCAGACAGCAGCCATCCCACCGGGCGCGCCGTTACCTGTCTGCAGGTACAGGTCTCCGTTGGTCCTGATGACCCAGGCAGCGTCCTCACTCAGTGCCACAAACACGGCCTGGGGCAGCGCCTCGTACCAGTGCCGTTTGCCCTTGATGGTCACTTTGCCACAAGCAAAAGCCCGGTTAGACTTCTGCTCAATCTTCCAGAGGAGGGCTCCTGTGCAGATAAAGCGCCCGTCAGATCATGTGAGAGCACCCCCTGGGCGCTGGGGAGGGGGTTCTCAACGCCGCCCTGGCTGCAGCTTCCCTGGGAAGAGCCCGCAGTGCCCAGGTTGATCTGTGGCCACCACCTGCCAGCCGTGTGGCTTCGGGTGTCGTGTCACGTAGTGTCGCCCATCTGATCTCATCTGTGAAATGGCGAGACCGCATCACCAACACAGCACGGGGCTGGCACCTCACAGGCACTCATCACACTAAACAGGGCGGGGCCTTCATCCCCAGGTGGCCGAGGTGAGACTGCAGTGGTGCCCGGCGGCAGGCGGAGTCCTGCAGGTGTCAGAGGGGAGTCACTTCCGGACCAGCTCCATGGACAAGATGCAGGAAGGAAGCATCTGACCTGGGCTGTGCTTTCTTCACTCAAGAGGTTCTGATGGACACGAAGAAGGGAAGGGACGGAGGAAGGGAAGATGGGGGGCCTCGTAGACGGGGTGTGGCACAGGCTGGGCACCCAAGTGTGAGAAGCCACTGCCCAGGAATGACGGAAAGCACAGCAGCTGGACTAGAGGGTGGGCCCGAGGAGAGGAAGCAGGACAGGTGCCCCAGCAAAGCTCCCCTAAGTGCCATGGCTCAGGGCTCAGGTGCTGACACAGAACACCCGCCTTCTGGAGGCAGAGCTCTCCCTAGAGAACGAGGGACAGGAGGGTTGGAAACACAAGGCAATGAACAGGGTCAGGGAAGAACAACGTGTCTAAATGGCTGAGGAGCTGAGCCCAAAGGAAAGGACAGAAAGAACTGAAACACAGTCATCATGCCCGCTGGTGGAGGGGGTTGTCTCAGTCAGTCTCTAAGGAAAAACACTTTCCAAACAAGCAAAGAGGTAAAACAAGCCACCCCGACAAGCTAGTATTTTAAACAGTGACAAAGCCCAGGGGGAGCTAAGGGAATCCACTGCGAAGGCACAGAGGACAGTCCAAGGTCAGACGCACTTTAGTAGGACTTCCTACCAGCACCCTAGCGACAAACCAGGTACCGCGGGCAGATACACAGAAACACCTCTGTTCTGCCTGCCCGCCCCCCAACAGGCGAGGTGGGAAAACCACGACCAAACGGCGAGCAGGCACTGCAGCCCAGCGGCTCCTCATTCAGGGATGCCGGCGCCCGTTCGGTCAAAGTGACGATCGTGGCATCAGACAATGGGTGCTTTTTCTTTCTACAGTCAGGCTCCTGATTAGTCACCCAGAGAATGAATAATATATGTGTGTGTATACATATATAATATATATATATGTTATATATATATAATATGTGTATATATATATATATATATATATATATATATATATGTATATGGCTCATTTAAAAATGATTTCTAAAAAGAAAACCAAATAGCCTGAACATATCCAACATATGCATCGGCCCATCTTCCTTAGTTCAGCTGCGTTAAAGCAACACTAAGAAACAGAAATGCATTTTATTTTTATAAGGAGCATGTTAACATCTCCCTCCATATCCTCAAAATTCAAGTTATTCGTATAGCCTACAAAAAATGTTCACGTGTTACCACTGCAATTAATAAAAAAACAAAAACTCAGACTGAACATCCCTTTACACTATTTAACTGATACCAAACGAAGCAATCTGTCTGGAGAAAAGCCCTCCTCCTGTGGGGAGGGGTGGGGGAGGCGGAGAGAAGCTGTCTGTGGAATGGCCTGCAGGGACCTCCAGCGGGGGTGGTGACCCTGGGCGGGAAGCAGAGCAAGCGAACCTGAGGGCGAGACTGCCACCTGCTGGACGGCATCTTCAAACTTCTGCCAGCGCAGCCCGGCGCCCCGCAAGGCACTGCAGAACAGGCCGCCTCTGTAGTCCAGGCACCAGACGTGCTTCTCGGAGACCCCCAGGCTGAGTATGCCGTGGCCGGGGCCAGAGTAGCCCATCCAGCTTTCTGCAAACTGAGGAGAGAGGTGAGTTCTGTGGGGAGGACGCGCTGTGCTTGCCGCACTGTCACCCCTGGGCAGCCCTGTGTGCTACGCTTCCTAACGTCACGCTTCATGGACAGACCTGGCTCTGTCACAGACACCTGTCTGTGCAGCACCTCACCACCGACATTAGCAGAAACAGCTCTGCCACTATCTTGGTTGTGTGTGTTTTCATCAATTTTAAAAATACTTATTGTTGAAAATATGACAGATATCCATTTCCCCCATTGACCCCTTCTAGCCCACATTTTCAGTCACTGTCCCAATCCTCGCGCACAAGGCACAGGGTGTGGCTCGTAGAAATCTGGCCGGGATGCTCTGTGGGGTGAATTTTGAGGACTAAGGTCTTCCTCAGGGGCATGAAGGCAGGAGAAAGGTCCTCCAAGTGCCAGGCGCCCTTTCCTCTGGGGAAGGGCTGTTCTAAGCTCTGGCCTAGAATCCCCAGAGCCTGCCCCACACCGCGTCCGCCTGGCGATGCTGTTTGCTGTCACGTGCACTGCGGCATCCCCGGCTCCAAACAGCCGGCAGCCGAGGCACTCGGAACAGACAGACACGCCAGAGACTGACGGAGGCCAGGCCCTCGGCACTTCGTCCCAGAACCAGGGAGCTGTGCGTCCCACTTTCGAGACAGCCGGTCGAGAGGGGTCTGGGACCAGCCTGGCCCTTCATTGGCTACGTGTAAGCCACTCAACTGTCCCAAGGCTCAGGTTCTTTCTCTGTGAAGTGGGACCACAGTGCCTACCTCCTGGCTTGTTCTGTTTTTAGAGAAGTAACGAGTTAACTTGTGATGCCTGGCACGGTGCCTGCCCAAACGGCACCGTTACCAGCGCCGAGAACCTGGCGGGACGTGCCGGGAAGCACAGGTGGCTGAAGCTCACACTCACAGCCGCACTCACCCCCCTCGGTAGGAAAGGTTACCACACACGGATCGTTCTGAAACCAAATACCTCTCACAGGGAAGTGAACACTAATTAAAAAGCACTTTTTAAATCAATGACCAAGGATGGTTCTAATCGTCTCCTGCTGTGCGGGCTCGGAGGCCCGAGGCACTGGACCCAGCCTGCGGGCGCCTTGGCCAGTGCTGCAGGCTGAGGAGCCAGCACCAGGCCAGGGCCGGGATCCTGCAGCTGGTGCCGTGGGCAGCCTGAGGCGGCGCCGAGGACAGTCCCTGCCTCCCACCTGCTCAGAGCCCTCTCCACCGCCAGTGCTGGTCCCCTGCCCACCGGTGTCTGGAATGGCCCGGCCGAGTCAGGCCTCCCCGAGGCGACCGAAACTAGTGCCTGTGCTGGCAGGACGCTGCTACTGCAGAGACGCGGGTTACGGAGCAGGGACACAGGCCATCCACGGGCCATCCGCGGCCCTGCACCGGAAATGCCCCCACCCAGACTTCAAACACTTGCCCCGCGGGTTTTGCAGTAGAAAGAGAACTTCTTTCCATAAAAAGGAACACAGGTCGCTGATGACGTCCCTGAAGCTGAAGCCCACATACCTGATCGGACTTCAGCAGCCCAGCGTCGTCGTCGGCCGGCTGGTTCAGGTCCTGCAGGGAGCGGCTGCCTCCGAGCTCCGCCACACTCGTCTCCGAGGATGAAGAGGGCAGCCCTTGGGCATAGATGTCCTCCTCGTCGCTGGACGTCAGCACCTGATCCCGTGAGGAATGCTCAGGGCGAGGGTCCTGGGCGCTGGCCGCCGAGGCACAGACGGGAGGAGTCAGCCATCCGCCCACACTCCCCAGGTCACATTCGGAAGCAACCACTGCTCTCTGGCCCATGCCATCATCAGTGACAGCATGCCAGGGATCGGAACCGAGGTGGCCAGGAGCCGCCACGTGCATCAGCAGGCCCTGCTCTCCGCCGGTCTCCTTGGCGCTGCCTTTGTTCACTCTGGTCTCCAGCAGCTTGCCCTCAGCACTGGGGGCCCAGCTAGGGCTGGAAGGCACGGGGGGCAAGTCCAGGAGAGAGGCTTCAGACACCGTGCACTGGGGATCCTCAGGCTCCCAGCCCCCCTCCTCCTGGGCCTCAGCAGGGCTGTCCTGGTCTTGGCAAGGTGACTGTCTGCTACTGGGTCCACTGTCCGCAGGACGAGGCTCCCCCTCGAGCTCTGTGACCTCGCCACCTTCCACATCTCCCCTCGGGTGCAGGGGTAGGCGCAACCCCCCACCACGCAGCTCCATCTCGCCTGCCGGGCTCCATCGCGGGACCTCCACTCTGTCATCTTCGCTGAGTAAGTCAGGGGCGAGCTCAGGCACCTCCAGGACACTGAATGCTCCCGGGTCATGGTTCTCCTGCAGGACACCATTCACCTCGCCACTGAGGCTGCTCTCCCAGTCGGGAGATTCTGTGCTCACCCGATCCACGATGCTGCCCAAACTTGAGGTCGTGGACAGCAGGTCTGTGTTCAGGGACTGGGGACTGTCATCAGGAAACTCACAGCAGGGAGTCGATTCAAGGGAACTGTGCCAGGCGCTCTTGCCTCCGCCTTCTAATTTAAAATAAGAATGTTTAAAATGAGGTATGGTCCTTCATAAAGACACGAATCAAAAACCACAATTTTAAGACCCTGGCCAGGTTGGTTGCTCAGTTGGTTAGAGCATCGTCCCCAATACGCCAAGGCTGTGGGTTTGACCCGTCAGGGCCCACAGAAGCAGCGATCCATAAATGCAGATATAAGTAGCCAATACTTCTCTCTCTTCCTCTTTCTCTCTAAAAGAGTTCTGGCTCAAGAAAAATACATTTTAAGTAAAGAAAAAAATGTCTCAAACAAATGAAAAAATACATTTTAAACTGGCAAAGAACAAACCTCATAAGTACAAGTGACACCAACGCAGGAATATTTTAAATGGATGCAAACATCCCACATGCCATGGGCTCTGAGGCTTCCCTCAAGACATGTAACTCGCCCTAACTGGTTTGGCTCTGTGGATAGAGCGTCAGCCTGCGGACTGAAGGGTCCCAGGTTCGAGTCTGGTCAAGGGCATGTACCTTGCTTGCAGGCACATACCCAGTAGGGAGTGTGCAGGAGGCAGCTGATCGATGTTTCTAACTCTCTATCCCTCTCCTTACTCTCTGTAAAAAATCAATAAAAATATATTTTTTAAAAAAAGACATGTAACTCAGAAAAATAAAAGAACAAATGAACCACAGACCAACTTCTAGAAGTTATGAAAGTGCAGAGGAATCTGGTAAAATTCCCTTCAATACTGCAATGTCTTTAGCTAAGAGGAGTCTGAAGTTGAAGATATTCCATGTAAACCCCGTGTCTGGTAGCAAACACACCCGGCGGTCAACATGAATGATCCACCTGGACACGGGGTCACTCTTGTCTCATGCCCTCCAGTGAGGTTCCCAACGTCTCTGTCTAGTAAGCGGTAGACATGAGTAAGCCAGACTTTTATTTCAAGACCAAGGAGCACAGAACCCCGCCGGGAGGCAGGGCGCCCCGCACACAGGTGGGCGCTCCTATTTAACCCTCATGGCGATGCTTCCCGCGGGTCAAGGGCAGAACTTGGCAGCGCGCCTCCTCTGCAGGAGGAACGCTCTGTTTTGAGGACCCTCTCTGCTGACTGTCCTATGAAGGGCGAGTGCCCACTCAGCACGCAGCACTCCCAAGGCCCCCGGCACGCAGCACTCCCAAGGCCCCCGGGAGCAGACGTACCTGCCTTCTTCTTCCTCCTCTTCTTCTTCACTTTGAGAGGCTTCACAATGAGCTCCTGGTCGAAGTCTTCCGAGCTAATGACACTGAACCTCTGCGAGGCGGGCTGGCTGGCCCTGCCCAGCTCCAGGGCTGCCTGGGGCCCGGAGCCGCTGTCGGTGGAGTTGAGCGAGCTGCTCCTGCTCCTCGGCTCGCTGGCCACGGAGCTGGCCACGGAAGCGCCTCTGAGCCTCGGCTCCGAGACTGTGGCCCCTGGCGGCCTCTCTGTGTGCTGCGCGGGGACTTGCTCTGTGCATCCTGGCGTCTCCAGGCTGTCTCGTCCTGAGAAAGAAGAGTTCCGTTTTACCACCGCGTATCCAAGAGTCGACGTGATATGTTAACTTATCGCACACACCAGCCTCTGAATGCAGAGAACTCACAAAACTCAAAGAATCGCACAAAATATTCCATCAACGGTTTTTGTTCTCCAGGCAGCTCATCTATCAAACAGTCTCCACAGCTGTCTTGTCAATAACTCCACAGGAAGGGAACACCACGGAGTACAGCGCCTCTCATTGACTCAGGAATAATTTAGAGGAGAGGCCTGTCTGAAAAGGGCCTGTGCTGTCTGTGCCCACCCCGGGCCCTGAATATCCGTTAATGTACCCAAGGGCTTTGAAAACATCTGCATGCCTGTCGTGACACTTCTCCACATCAGGGAGGAAAGGCAGGTGTCCACCAGAGCGCATTCAAGACCATGTTCATTAGACCAGGCAGCGCCCGCTCCAGGCAGAGGCAGGGAGAGGAGCGGCCGGGAAAGCGCCCGGGCTCTGGCCCAGCACAGAGAACAGGCAAGTGTCCCCCTCCATGGGCCCGCCCTTCTCTCACTCGACACCAGCAGGTCACCAGGGCCCGAGCGGCTCCAGTCACATCCCTCAGCACAGGACTGGGGGCCACTTTGATCTACTGCGTGCCAGACACCATTCCAGGTGCTGAGACCGGCCATCACCGGCAGACGGCCCTCCTTTCCCAGGGTTGTCGGGCAGAGAGTGGCTCCTGGGGCTCACGGGACTGCAGAGCAGGCTCTGCTGCGTGAAACCCAGGGTGGGGCGGTGCCTGTGCCAGGTCACACAGCGAATGGACGGCAGCTCTCGGTCTGGCGCTGCGCTGTCCGGCACAGAGGCCACTACCCATGGAGCTGTTTACGTTCAGACGAATTAAAATGAAACACTGAAAAGGCAGCTCCTCAGTTGCACTTGCCACTCAAGTCCTCAGCAGCCAGGTGTGGACAGGGGCCACCTGCCGGACAGTGCGGATACAGAGCAAGGGAGGGACACGGTTACTCCAACCCCTGGGGTGGGAGGGTAGGATGAGGAAGGCGGTGGGTGGAGGGACAGGGGTCTTGCACTTCCTTCAGGCTTGTTGTAAAAGACCACAGAACCCCTGTGACACTGCTCTGTGACCTCAGAGGCCCCACAAATGCAGGGGCTCTGGGACAGGAAGTGCTGTGTTCGGCTCACGCAGCGCAGAGGTGGCGTCTTTGGGCCCCTCGGGCACCTTGTTGAGACTCGGCACCTCCCATGCGGCTGTTCTGAGGGTTTGTAAGATCGGGAATGTTGAGCACTTAGCCGCTCTGGTTCCCACCAGGAGCCAGTTCACTAAGCACCCGAGCATTAGTGCTGCGACGTGTGCCCGAGAAGCCACAGTAAGGTCCTTTGCTCGTGAGAATCTGGGCTCGTGTGAATTACCAAACAAAAGTCAAAGGCACAGGATAACACTCAGTTCTACAGGGCGAGCTGTGGTAGGTGAAGTATGTTCCAGACGACGGGCTAAATGTTGTAAAATCTTATGCAAATCTAGGTCTTTTGCAGCATTAGTCCCACATGCTGCCTAGAGTATCAGCGGTCGGTCGGTCGAGTGGGCACTGAGTTCTCGCTCCCCCTCACTGACCTCTCACCTTCCAGACCCATGGAGGCAACTCTACCACGCGGAGACCTGTCCGATGCAGGCCGTAAAGTAGGTAGGCTTCAAGGACAGTGGTGTACTGAGTATTTTAAGAATCATAAGAAGCCTGCCAGATGCCTTCGTTGTTCAGATAAAGCCACAATCATTTAGCAAAATGGTCAGTGTCATAAATAAAAACTGCCACTGCACACACACAGTACCTGCATTTCCAATACAAACCTACGGACGCTAGTCCCTCCGGCCTGCTAGAAATCCTTATGATGTTCCTATCTCCCTTTAAGAGAAATATTTCATTTTCTGTGCAGGAAACAGACACGATATCACCCGATCCTTCCAAACCAGCAATCGTGGCCTGTCCAGAAACAAAAACAAAATCACACCAGGCAAGACTGCTCTACTAGACCCGAGCGCACCAGCAGCGTAGGGACCCAAGTACGCCCACTGTGTTTTGTTACGAAACTTCATGGAAGTTGGTAGGTGGTCCAACCCAGTCAGGTGACACTGAGCGGGTCTGACTTGGAGTCTACTCCTCACCAGTAAATTCACGTGCGTGAGGAGCAGGCTCCCACCTCCTGGCCGCTCTCTGGACCCTGTCCTCACCTGCTCCCCACTCCCTATGACACGGAGCTCCTCCTCCCTGCAGGACCTGCCTGGCGACCTCACACAGCTCTGCTAATAAGAGAAACTGAAACTTTTTTTAAGTTTCTATATCCGACTCTAATAGTAATAATCTATTATCGCCATGATTTTTAAACAGAAATGGCAAAATGATGTGTCTCCATTTGGGCAGAGGGACCAAGGGTACGAGAACAGGGTGGAAAGGAAGCTGGAGAGAGCCCCGTCGGCTCAGGCCGCCCTGGGGAGGCTGCGGGAGTCATTTTCTGCTACTGTTCCTGCCACGCTGGCCTTCATTCACACACCCAGCCACTGGCAGTCAGGAGAAACATGGCCCAAATAGACTACAAAGAACAAGTTTAATTTTGTGCTTAAGTGCAAAAAACCCCACCATTTCTTGGCCGGGGGCAGGACTATGAATAGCAAACCAAGTATTTTTTCAAATCTACACAAATAATCAAACCTTCACCTGATTTCCTTGACTGGCCCAGAGGGACAAGTAAAGCATGAGAACCTATTCCGTTCCCTCCAGCACCTGAGAGGCAGCCCCAGATAAGCCTCGAGACACCAGAATGGGGTGCAGCCGTGCCACCTACCTGGTTGACAGTGTCTAGAAGGTAAACACTATATTCGTTCCAACTCAATACCCAGCCTTCCCGGAAGAAGCAGGAAACCAGCCCCAGGTGCCTCTCGGGTAAGCTGCCACTTCCCGGGTCGAAGGAGTCCAGGCGCGGGTACAACTCGAAGGGCTTGACTCCTCCAGCAAAGGCATCTTTTAAGATAAACGTGGCTTGCACAGTCCCCTGGACGTCAGCCCTCCACAGCCGGAGCCCTGGCCGGGATGCGTACAAGGTCAGATCGCTTTGCTTACAAAGTCCTGGTATAAAACAAGCACCAAATTTCCCAGTGCTGGAATTAAAGAAAGAAAGAAACAAGACACGGCTGATTGAAAGCGACCGCTGCTGCTCACTCCAACAGGCATGTTTGCTAAGCCTAACAGACGAGATAGATTTCTGAGGACCCCTGTCTGTTTCTCTTGCTAACGGAACCAGCCAGCCCTGCACCCAGCCGACAGGTCTCTCCTCACACTCCTCACGACACCCAGGAGGGTGCACCCATGAGCGCACCTCCTGGTTCCCAGGTCACCGCTTCCTGTGTTCCCTGCGGCGCTGCACCCACTGCTTTAGCTGCACGCTCTTGTTTAATCCCCACGACCCTGCGAGGCAACTATTACAACTCCCGTTCGAGAGAAAACTGAAGCAGGAGCTGGCAACTCCATTCTGCCCGCCGCCCCGGCTGAGACAGCTCCATCTGATCACCACCTCACGCCCACTCCCCAGGAAGGAGCTTCATGTCTGGGGTCCAGGCAGTCCTTTGGGAGTTTTTCTAAACTGTCAGAGGGACCAAATCTCCCTTCTGAAACCATGAAATATCGAACACTAACAAAAGAACATGTCATATATGTGGTATGTTGTTTATGATGCATACACCCAGGAGCCCTCCCTCATGCTCCCGGGCCCCGAGAAGTCCCTGCTGCTCCACTCCCAGGGTGACCGCTAGGCTGTTCGTGCTCCCCGTGCCCTTGCTTTCACTGATGGGTGAGCCACAAGCCCACGTATTCCTGAATGAGCACTGTGTCTCCCATTGTGTAACAGTACGCTGCTCTCTGCACACTTCTGACACTTGCTTTTAACATGACACAGGAGCATTTCTAAGATCCGTCCTTCCCGGATAAAGCTGTGGCTCATTCACCGTCACCGCCACACAGTACCCCACACTTGCTCACATACTCCCATGTGGATGGGATTTGAATGATTTCCCTGTTTCCGTTCTGAACAGCAGCGCGAGGAGCATTTTTGCACGTGACCTCCAGTACACAGGTGCCTGTTTGTGGAGATGGAGGAAGCGGGACTGTGGGTTGCTGAGTGAGAGAAACTGAAGTCTGGAGACCACTTCAAACTTTCCCAGTGACCATCCCGACGACACTCCCACCAGCAGTCTCTGCGTCCTCACTGCTCCACGTTGGCGAACCTCAGCCTTCACCAGCTCATGTGTTAAGAGGTTCAAATCAACCCTAAGTCCTGCTGATTCTCTCTCCAAAATATTTCTCTGGTTTTGAACAGTAGAAAGAGTACTGGCTTGCTCAGCGGCGCCGCTCAGTGGTTGAGTGTTGACCCAGACACCAAGAAGTCACTGGCTCGATTCCCACTCAGGGCTCATGCCTGGGTTGCAGGCTCGATTCCCAGCTGGGGCGTGCAGGGGGCAGCCTATCAATGTTTCTCTCTCTCTCTACCTTCTCCCTCTCCCTTCTTCTCTCTCTGAAAATCACTAAAAACTAATTAAAAAAGAGTACTGGCTTTACATCGACACCTCCTAGCTACGTGGTGTGTGGCCCTTTTAGACCTCGGTTTTCTAGTCTGTAAAAAGGGGTAATAACTCCCATCTCCAAGGCTGAGGTGAGGATCGAGTCCCCACAGTCGCTCACCTGCCATGCAAGCAGCGGCAGGCGCTCACAGCTGGGAGCTGCCCCTCACTCTGCTCACGCCCCCAGAGAATGTTGCTCCTGTGGGCTGTGTCTCCCCGCCGCACAGCACGCAGTACACCCATCACCGGAGGGGCCACCAGGGATCACAGATAAAGTGTGTGGGTGCTTCTCTTCCCTTCGTGTCTCGCTAGGTCCCCTCGGCCCCTCAGTAATGACATCCCTCTGGACAGGGTCCAAGGTGGGTACCACAGGTCAAATTCCCTTTCAAACGAAGACTGTTACTAACTGAGGGTGTCCACAGACACCTCTCTAACCAGCAACGCGTCTCATCACGGCCCTGGGTGGACTAAAGACGCAAAGGAGTTCCACCAGGGCGGCCACCCCTTCCCCTGCCTTTCCTGTCAAATCAATTCTGCTTGGTGATCCCATGGGTCAATCTGCCGTTTCCAGAGGCTGGCAGGAGGTCACTGCTGTGAACAGACCAAGCTGCTGATGGAAGGGCAGCTCAGCAGGGGAGAAAGGGGGGGGGACTCCAAGCAGAACAGAGAATAAGCTCCCCCTGTGTGGGCACAGAGATCAATGCTGGCTGCACCCGCTGACCTCAGCCGCCCTCCCCGATGGCACCGGCACTACCAGCCTCCCCGCCCTCACCAGCGCCTGTCAGTTCCACCATGCTTCCAAGCCAGCCCGCTGCCCACTCACCACCCCCACCCTCTCCTCCTTCCCAGCCCGGGTGTCCTCTCCTGGTACTCGTCCAGCTCCCGCCCACCCTCTCCCACTGTCCCTCCCTCCACCCCTCCTCAGTCCCCCACCCCCACCCCGCACAGAGTCCTACCAGGGGCCTGGTCACCCGCGGGCTGCTGCTGCCTTTTCCCACGGCAGGCAGGCAGGGGGACTTGGCCTAATCCTTCTTGTCACTTTTTCTTTCCGGCATCAGGTCAAAGGAGGGACAATCCCAGCCTAGAATCCTTCACCTCTTCCCCGTCTCCTCCTTCCCCCCCTGCCCCCCCAGACCCTGGCACCCCTGGCAGAGTGGCTGAGGGACAAACTTCCTCAGAGGCCAGGCCGAGGTGTCCAGGG